TTGAAATCTAATTGTATGCGCTTCTGGTGGGGATTTAGCAACATCACAGTTTATATCTCCTAATAGGATTAGTTCTTTGTTTTCAGCATCACAATTAAGAAGAAAAATATCGTATGCATCAAATACATCCGTACTTGAATTAGGGGGTCTATACCATGTACTAACTAGAAATGACCTGTTGAAAGGTTGATTAATTTCGATACAGATCATTTCCAGATTATTTGGAACTAAGTCATTTCTAACCAAAATGGAGAGGTGTTCTTGAACATATATTACAACACCATTTCTATTTCTATCTCTTCTAACTAGTTTATAACCTGGTATACTTATTTCAGAGTCATTTACTAATGAATCAATTTTTGTTTCGTTAATAGCAAAGATGTGAAAGGAATACTGTGATAAAATATAACGAATATGTTCAATATTTTTTAATAGACTATTGATATTTAGACTACCAAGTTTCAGAACTTTTAGTTTTCCCATCCGTTTGAATTGGCAGGTTACATCTTCATCATGCTGCGATTCGGGTGTTGGGGGGCTGATAGGGCTAGAGATGTTAAAAAGTTCCCCAGCTGTAATAGTTGGCTTGTCTGAAAATCCTGACCAAACCTACCGTTTCCTTGCCTTGTTCTTGTTTGGGTGGTCGTTTTATTGCCTTCTCGAATAAATATAATGAAATTGACAGCTAAATAGGCAGACCCTTTAGCGTTTAGGTGGATCTTGCTACCGTTTAAGGCAGTCCTATCAATGTTCTCATTGTTTATAAAACCATAATCTTGATTTAAACACGTTTGGGCAATATAGTATGAACCATGATCATGCAAGCTTCAAGTTCTGACTATTCAACCTTAAAGAATACCATACTCGAAATGTGGGAACCGACAGGGGTAGGTGTCCAGACAGCAGAAGATGATGTATTGGCAAAGAATTATGAGAAAATCTTTGACCCTTTCTTCAACATGTTCAACATCTTTTATGACAATTCCTGAAGGATACAGAACGGAATTAAATTCATATGTGAAGACTTTTGCCAGCGTTAACGTTATGTTTTCAAAACAAATTTTCAAAATTGTTTTGATGCTCAGCCACCATTTCAACTGTGTGAAGCAATACTGACGGGAAGCTTGAGCGAAGGACTTTTCCTTTTTACTTTAGAGCCACCAGATATGGACTTCATGTGCGTGTTAAAGAATACTTATTTTCGCAACAAGATCAGATAGACGGCACCTTGTTGTTAAGGGAAGACACACCTCTTGTTTGCGCATTTAACTAAAAAAAAAATTCCAAATTTGTGGAGTAAGTTTTTAGACGAAGGAGATAAACATACGGGAAAGCGTAGATTATCATCGAGAAAATTGAAAGAAGAGCTAGAGAAAAACTACATAAAAACTGGCGGACTTTTCCGTACATTTGGCAAAGAAGGGCTGGAAGAAGTTGCTGAAGGTGCAGCATTGACCGTTTGTAAATCTGAACCTGTCGTGCCTTCAATCAAGAGAATCAGAAAAGTCGTAAAGGAAATATTAAGACAACCAATAAATGAACCTTTTAACATAGACTACGTGTTTCATGCTCAAATGATGCATGCCATGTTAGACAAACTAATTCCTTCCAGTGACATTGTGTTGTCTATATTTTGCGAGGGATGGCCACCTTGTGCAAAAGAGTGGATCACACGACAACGCCTTTGGCCAGATATACATTCCATGGAGAAAATCATTCATGCTGGGTTCCACATTGTTCCAAAGAACTCACATGATGGAGATTTTCCATTGTCTTTCTCCTGTGCTGAAACAATTTTGGTTAAAACTCTCGAACCGCTACAGCACAAGGTAATGCGAGCCTTCAAAGACACCTTCAAAGCAGTATTTAAATATCATCAAAGGATCTGGGATCTGTCTATCGAGGGGATTATATCAAGTTATCACTTGAAGACCATCGCGTTTTGGTATTTTGAGAAAACCTCACAGGAATCATGGACGGAAGAAACTTTAGTACATCATCTTGTTACCGTACTTGAACAGTTAGCAGACGCTTTGAGAATACAAAATCTTCCAATGTATTTCATGCCTAAAGCAAACTTTTCCAAGATGTCGATGATCCAGAAGTCACGTTGGACTTAATGGAAAAGATTTCACAACTTTCCCACCATTTTCCTGCAATGGCCGAAGCTGTAAGCAATAGGACTAATTTAAAAGAAACTGAACTGTGGATTGATTCAGACCACAACGACGTTAACCGTGTTGGAGATTGCGACGCCATACGCGAAGAGAAATTGAAGAAAGAAGAAGCAGGCGGTAAAACTTCGTTCACCTGCCTCGATTTTTTTTATGCTATCGAAAAACTCGTCAGTAAATTCAATATGGTCAATAAATTTGTTTAGTAATTACACCACTTAAGGTGTTACAAATTCTTCCCATCATATTTGTTGTATTGCTATTGGTTAGGCATATAACAAACATAATTAGAAGCCTCTTTAGAGTCAAGCTGTTTGGAGTTGATTGTAAAATCTATTTTTCGTTGCTTTTAGTTTAGTTTAGGTTCATGTTTTAAAGCGGTTCAACAAAGCTCGAGAATTACTGACAACCTCAACAAAGCTGGTTTTCTATTAAGCGGAAATTTGCGCGGAGCGAAATTTTTCTTTGTCTTGTGATTCCTTGTCTGTAAGTAATTATAAAGGCAAATGAAAATTCCGCCTCCGCGCGCAAAATCCCGCCTAGTGTAAAAGCGGCCTAGCCCTATTTGTAGGGGGGTAGGCACAGTGAGCGCACCCATATAAATATTTATCCATCATTACTGAATAAATTATCCCATTCGCGCCTGTGCTTTTATGACTTTTAATATTTTTCCTGTGCCGCCATTACTGCGAAAAATATTTCTGAAAATTCAAAGTTATCTGGACATTTGATGACATTTGTCAAACAAGGTTTCGGGCCAAAAAATGGGAAAATGTGGGTTGGTGATTTTTGACACTATTTTTTTGGCTGAATCACTTCCAAGGACATAAATGACATAATATAGTTAGAGAACATATAAAGATGGATTATTACTCATGATTTGCAAAGAAAAGCATCAATAATATTTTATATAAAATAGTAAAATATGACATAATATAATATATAAATACTATATTATAATATAATTGGGATATAACTGACAATTTTATTGGCTAATGCATGTACATTGTGACACAGTAATGCACTGTGATCCGTGGCACTGCTTCTCTCTTTCTGTGTCCCCCCTCCCCCTCATCTTGGATTTTTAGCCAAGAATATAAACAAAACTATAGAGCTTTTAAGAGCGACTTTCTGAAAAGTTCGACCAAACAGCGGCACAAGAGGAAAAATCGATTTCGCTCATATTTTCTCCATATGTAGGCTATAGTGAGAAATGAAACATGCCGTAGTCCGTTTGTCTAAATAATATTTTGTTTAACGGCAATTTGAAAAAACAATTTTGACAGGAAATTACGCTGAAATGGGCGTTCGCAAAGGTCAAAACAGTTATATTCGAACGAGCCTCACGTTCCAAAACAAAAACTCTGAACATCTTTTAAAGACTTTATTATTTTTCTTTAATTGTCTCCTTTCAATTTGGAAATGAGACGCTTCCATAGTTTTACATATTTTCGTCCGGAGGTAAAGACAAGTTTACGCTATAATTATAGAATGGCTTGTCAACAAAATATATGGTCCGAACATCGCTTCCGTTTCGTATGTGCTCTTCCTCCAAATGACTTAAAAACTGTTTCGTAGGCTTCATAAGATATAAATCTTCCAAAATATCAAGAAAAATTTCTGGCCAAAACATTTTGACTGAGCCGCTGGGGAACGTTTGATTAGGTATTTCGCTACCTCGCTACTCGTGTCATAATGAGTAGCGTAACTGAAATTCGCTGCATATATTTCAGAATCATCGTTAATTGAATATAAATGAATAAAAAGTCTTTTAGTGTTTCTTTATTATTGACTTGAGTTTGTTATATGAAAGGCTGTTACAATATTTGCTTACCTCCAACCCAAGGTTATTGATAGAATATTAATAATGAAGAATAATGTGTTACACAAATGACCAGCAAGTACTTCACGTTCACCCCAACTTGTTGAAGCACACGTACCGTAAAACATTTGCCCTCATTGTCTTCCATAATCAGCGAACAAATAGATGACGATATATTTATGAAAATTTTTGATGCAGTTTTGCTATTATGGGTTTTGGGCCAAAGTTTTATAAATAGCATTATTGAGTGACAGTTTGTACATTTCTGAAATCTACCGATTGTGAGTCACGCGATCAAAAACGCAACAACATCTCGTGACAATGTTATTATCATCAACATATATTGCAAGGTTATCTTCTGCAATTTAATATAAATCAGAAATAACATGGAAGCCCACTGTTCATTTTACACGCTTGTTGGAGGGCTTTGTACTTACACTCGGAGAGACAGAAAACATACAACAGAGATCGTTCCTTTGTTAACCTGTGCAAAAGATATTTCCTCACACAAATCACTTTGGGGCTTTCAAGATGTCGACAATGAAGTTGATTTAATTCTTGCCCGCGCATCAATATTTGAACGCTCCGAAAACATCCATTCATTTAGTATATGCCTTTCCACCGCCTTATCCTTGGAATTGGATGGAAAAGAAGTGGTACCAGGTGTAGTGTTCCTCAACAACTATCTGGTCAGAATAAAAGAAAATTGCCGAACGGGGATCGAGGAATTTCGAAACTACTTTCTCGCCAAGTTTGGAAACACACGGGTATTTTGATTCCGGTTGGCTCAGGTAATATTATTGATTAAACTGATGACTTTATTACATTTTTGGGAATTAAGACACTTAAGAATCAAATAAACTCTTTATGGTTAAGGGCTGTGCCGTTCGTGCAGAGAAAAACGTCAAGCCTTTACTGAAGTACAGGATAAAGAAAAGTACTCAACAAAGAAGGAAGGAGCAGAGGGGCAATACGAGTCAGAGGAGATTGGGAGTCTAATAGATGGAATGTCCAACTTAAGTTTCGTGAGCAAACTATAACATAGCCTTTTTACTCCCATACCATTGAAAAAGGGGCTGACTACAACACGGGGTGATGTCGTTACACTTGATGACGTCATACAAAACGAACGCCCGTGAGTCAATTTTTTGAAAATATCTTGACTGCATTGCCTTATGGGAAAACAGCGTATATAATATGCCAACTCTACAAAGTCTTTTGCACATTCTAATTGGCATTCAAAAACTCATTAATATTCATGCACAAATTGTCTAATCAGATTCCCTTGTTTAGTCACACGCAAAGCTTTTATACCTGCATGGTAAAAGACTTTATCTAATAACAACAGTAAACACGCAAGTTGATTGGTGACACGGTCAATGCCCGTGCAGGATGAATAATCGTGTACGGAAAATTTGAATGGCCATTTAGTATTCCTTTAATGAATGCTAATTAGGTTAGCACATTAGGATAAGCTAATTAGGATATTACGTTCATTTGTGTTCTTTTACAGTATTATGTTTCATCCTAATTACAATAATACTAATTGACGTCACTCTAATAAGCGTATTTGAAGTCATTCAAAACAACTCGAGCTCGCGTCGTATACCTAAAATGCTATGCTAGGCTTTACGTTTTAAATATGACAGAACGCTTCTTAATTCTCGTGTTGTAAATACTACACATTTAGTATTGTTTGAAATAAAATTGATAAAAAGACGTGACTGCGTCAACAAAAACATTTTTGATATTATTGAATAGGTTTAATGCAATATTCTTTAAATGGCGTTCGATTTTGCGTCTCATATTTCTCTCTACAAGTATTAAACTTCTGCATTTTTTAAATCAAGGATGGAAAACTACAAACACTTGAAGTGCAAGAAGATGAAGAGAAACTCCTAACAACAAAAGTGGAAAGACGTTCTCCTAATGCGGAAAGAGAATGTCAAATAGACAAAATGATTAACTTGACCTTGATGAGGAAGCAGAAAGTCTTCTTTATCCCACCCCATTAAAAATACGCAGGCCGCATCGCGTTATTGTAAAGATACCACGAAATATACCATCCACTTTATTATCTCACTCACATGATTTAGCCTATTTTTAATTATTTGGGTAAATTATGGGATAGGATTTTTGAAATTTTCTTCTTATAAACTAAGTAAAAAGACATTTGTGGGGATAGTGCTTTTTCTTTCTTCAGGTCTGCTGACTCACATGTATTTTTTTGTCAAAGATGGAAATATGAAAGCCACTGAACCCTCTGAAACCAGCACTCCAGCAGCCGAGCAACCATTCTATTTCTTTGAAGCCGATGAGCTTATAGAAAGTTTGTCCTGCCCATTGGATATTTCAGATGATTCTATCTCAGATGTGCACGAGGAAGAGAGCGATAAGTCGCACCTTAACAGATTTTTGAAAAGTAAAGATGTCAGTCCCGTGCGTTCCTGCTTACATAAACCATGGAGTGCAGCTGGAGACCGAACCAAACGATATTACGCGAGGAAAGCTAGCCAAGCAGTAGAGCATCTTTAAATGTGATAGCACCTAAAAATTCTGATGAATTATGGAATTCCCTAGTTAAATCAAAGTGGACATCATCAAACGACCTTGAATACGCAGACAACGCCTTACTAGAATGCCTTGTCCAGTGTTATAACGAGGCAGATCAGTGGGATACTCCCAGACAAATACTATCTATTATGGCAGAGAAACTACGCTACAATACCATTTGCATGTGGATCCCCGATCTGACTCGATATCGCTATAAAATCGCAAAGAGACACTCGCAAATCCACGGTATCGGAGTGCCTGTTCCAAGACCTTGTCAGACGAGAATGCGTGTTCCTCAAGATCTGCCGTTTGGCGAGAAAAAGCTCACCCAATCGACTAAAAAAAGAATCACAGTACCTAATATCATCAGATCGATTGTTGCAGAACGTATTGTGAAACAATATCAGCAGTACTGTTTAGAAACCAATCTTAGTTCCCTAAGTAGAAGCACCATTCTTCGAATTTTAGAAGTCTGCAAAGCCTCAGTTCACTCGGCATTGACCATTGCCAATGCAAAATGTGTCGGGAAAAATATGGTGTGAAAGGTCAAATGATGGACTTTTCCGACCCACAGGGAGGCAAAGGAGCCTGCGACAGAAAAGCGGCAACCATAAAATCCCACATGCGTTTATTTCTCAACTCAGGGAACGACATCGAAACAGCTGTCCAGATGAAGAGGGCAATAGAATCTTCGGGTGGCGTTCCAAATGTTAGTGTCACGCTTGCCAGTTCGCCAGACACATCAGCTCTTAATGCTTGTAAGTGGGCGGGAGTAAGTTTTTTCAACAACATAGAATACGGTGAAACTCAGCTGCGAGTTTGGAAAGCGTACAATATCGGAACTGGACGCCTCATTCCGTGAGAAAAGTTTGCAAAAGCATGTGATGCTGATTTACCGCCTCTTCCGATTATTGAAAGCAATACAGCACAAAACATCAAGTTTGCAACGCCCAGATCTGGCAAGAAAGCTAGTGACACACCAACAGATGACAACGAGGAAGAGTCGGACAGTCAGGTGCCAATCAACCCTAGCTTCGTCTAACAAACTCTTTTGCTGTCCTGAAGAGGGTTGTGTGAAGTCAACCTCGTACCCAGGGTTGCTTTGTTGGGACCCTGGCAAACTCTGATTGCGTGACGTCACAAATCTTGGAGATTACGTAATTTGTAACTTTATGATCCGGGGGGTGATGGCTGTGCAAGCAAACTTCGCGAAGGGAGAGTGCGAATAAATACAGAATATGTAATAAAAGATATATAAACACAAAGATTCTTCTTACAATTTCGTTAACCTACTGGCGGCAGTAATCTACATAATTTTGTTAATCTTGTCTATCGAAGGGATTCCAAGAACGGAAGAAGTATGAAAATTGACAATATTAAAAGATGAATCACAATTAAAGATTGGCTATTTATGATAGATCTCTATTAAAAGTCCATTTAATATTGACAGGAATGCTTTGATACATAAATTATAGCCTATAATGGACTCATTATTGGACAAAAAAGACGACAACTTTAATTATTTTAAAGAACCTGACTGGCAAGGCTATGCATTAAGTGTATAAATTGTATGTATATTTTATTATTAAAATACATGTACAGTTCTTAAATTTTTAAATTGATTTTGTCTGTCTTTTTTTTGTTTCATCATTGATGCTGATTTTTGAAAATATCACTTCTAAAGCACATGTCTACGTTATTATGTGGTGGAATTTTTCAATTTGACATGCACGTAGAAATTTTAAATATATAATTCATATAATTATGATGTACAGTAATGTGTAAGCAAAATCGTCATATAGTTTATACTTGTATTAATAGGGATTGTCGACAAATAAATTGTCCTTCAATTGCAAACTTGCTCTGTGATTGTTTCAACCCCCTTTCCCTTTCTATATGTTCATTGTAGTTAAATTTTATAATAGATATAGCACAATCTTATCTACAAACATGCATGCTTTGCCGTTCAACGGCTGTGATCAATGCAGCTTAATGTTATGATATAACACCCTTTCCCACTTCGTTGGACAAGTTCGCAAATGAAGAACAAAATCTATTTATTGTTAGCCCCCCAAAAAAAAAAGTTAGTAATCTTTATTCAATATATGAACAACCCAGCTCAAAATGTGACAAGGAAAAGCTTGGGTACGTTTGTCTTATACTAAACATACTGGCAATAGATCACTCAAAAATAGAAACTATAATATATAACTAACATAACAAATTGGAGTCAGTAATTATCTTAAAAAAGTACTGGTATATGCATGCTGTATATCCTAAATTTCAAAGCTCACAAACATATCTTCAACTGACATAATATGGTCACATTTTGAAACAACTAACTCAACGCAAACTGCGATTGTCAGGTTACCAAATAATCAAAAATCTTGGACCTGGCCTTTTTTAGTAATGGCATATACTGAGGGAAAAACTCAAAATCAAAAATATTTTACAAATAGAAGTTTTTATCAAAGTCAGCTGTTTAAAAGGATTTTTATTGGCTGGTGTTTAAATTTTAACCCATCGATTCGCATTGCACCCTACTTTATTATTTTACTCTGTTCAACACCAGACGATTTTACTCTTCAAGGGGAGATCATGCTGGGGCTTAATGGTTAACTGGCCTAACTGCCCATGTATCCAGTTAACCCGCTGAGTCGCATTACGCACAACTTTATTATTTTACTCTGTCTAATGCCAGATGATTTTACTCGTCAAGGGGAGAGAGCTGCCGCATAAGAGGTTAAACAATATGTTTGATCTTGGTACATGATTAATTAAATTTTGATATCACAAGTGATATTTTGAAGTGGAAAGTCATTCAATTACTGGTTAATATCGATCGAAGATTTTGAACTCATGATCTGCCATGGAAATGTATAAATCTATATACTATACTGCAAAGCTCTGGATAAAAAAAAACACTGTCAGGAAGTGTAATACTGCCATTGTGTAACAAATATATTCTCATACTGCTTATAATGTTTACTCAAACTTAAATATTATTTACTGTATTAATATAATATATAAAATAAACAACATTTAATTAATAATTTAACAATTTGACTATTCAATTCAGTTTTGAAAATGCTATAACTTTAATTTTCAATTTGTCTGATACTTAGTCATCTTGACAGTTTGAATAATAATTATGGTGTAAATGTTTTCAAACCATGATAGGTTCTACGGTTTAAACATGATAGAGCTAGCTGTGTTCTTGATGCAACTGCATGATCATCATGCAAAGATGGTGATGGCTTAAGAAACAACATCAACAAGAACAGACTCCTTTTGTATTTCAAGTCATCAAATTCTTTTCACAAAATTTTGAACAAAGTCTCAGATCTGTGATGTGAAGAGACTATCAAGTAATAATGGTACAGGACCTGAAGAAGATCAAACCATTTGAGAGAAAGCCAAGCTACGCGGCCTACGCCAACAAGTGGACTTCATTAATTGACATGAAGTATTTTCATGGCTTGAAAAGCATAGCATAAGAAGCCGCAAATAGCAATGGGAAAGAACAATTTGTAGACATTCAAATTTGAGTAAACATTATAATTACAGTATGAGAATATATTTGTTACCTAATGGTGGTATTTAGTACAGTACCTGTTTTTTTTAACCAGAGCTCTGTATATAGATTTATATATACATTTCCATGGCACGATGGCGGATCATGAGTTCAAATTCTTCGATATTAACCAGTAATTGAATGACTTTCCACTTCAAAATATCACTTATGATATCAAAATTTGATAAATCGTACGACAGGTCACAGGTGCAATAAAAATCCTTTTAAACAGCTGACTTTGATAAAAACTTGTATTTGTGAAATATTTTTTATTATGAGTCCCCCCGTTATGCCATTACTAAAAAAGGTTGGATTATTTGGTAACCTGGCAATCAGAGTTTGCCAGGGTCCCTCCACGTGCACCAGAACCTTTAAACACGGAAACCCTGGGTACGAGGTTGGTGTGAAGTCTTTTCAAAGATATTCTAACTTACAATACCATCTTGAATGTGGAATTGAAAGCGTAGGAAGGTGCTAGGGTACGAAATCCTACTTGATAAGGCTATGACTGATTATGCCAACAAGCTCGAACAAGGTAATACCAGATTACAAGATGTTGCTGCCAATCCTTCGCGTGGAGAAGAGATAAAATTGCAATCTACCGCCTTTACCGATGGGATGGGGTCTAAAAATCACCCTACGAAAAAGGTTCACGGCCGTCCAAACAGACCACCTTCTTAAAAGTTCAATATTGGTAGAGATACACGAAGAAAACAAGATCCTTCAACTGTTGCTAAAGAGATGAGGCGTGCAAAAGATGCTGCTGGTAATCGCTTGTTCCCTAGCAGCAAAGACTTCCTAACAAGTCAGCAAATAACTAGTTTCTTTTCAAGATTGGCTTCATAAAGCAAAGGTGCTCTGACTGCAGAGCCAGAACTTAATGAAGAGGCTGAAGAAGATGACGATGACGATAATGATGATGGCGACGAGGATGAGAATGCGTACAGCGCTAGACAGGAAAGACAATGGAGGATATGAGAATACTGGCAACGAAGGAGATAGGCCTCAGCCACCCTACCATATATGACACATAAAATATTTGCGAAATCCTTACCAATGGAAAACTCAGTCTTAAGTTCAATGTTTGTGCTTTGCAAGATGCTTGTCTATATTTTGACCTCAATGTTTCTGATATCAAAGCTAAGCGGAAGAAGCCTTATGTTGATAAGCTACAACAGTAGGTGGAATCATGTATCTGTTACCAAGGCAAAGTTTAAATGAATCGTCAAGTGTCGTTGCTTTCATGTCAAGGTAAGTGCGTTCAGAAGAGCTTATAACCTAACCAGAATCGAAAATGCTGAGAAAATATACTGAACTAAAAAAAACACATTTGCGTTATGCCGAACTGGGTTTTTTTACCCAATTCATTTTTGGCCATCGCTTGACTTTTTTCCAAAATGACGGGCATCAAACAACCTGTGGACAATTTTTTTCCTATAAGAGTGGTTCGAACAAGAATGAACTGAACAATTATATGGCATTTGAGTTCTAATTTATAGACTCGATTAAAAGTCTTACAAGAGACAATTTTTATTATACTTGCCCCCGTCAACTGAAATCCCGAAATTACACCATCGCAATCTCCATTGCTAATCAAATTGTAAAGGTTGAGGCTTTCTGCCGATCATGAATTTCATTCTGAAGAATTAAAAGGTTTTTCGATTGTTGAATAATTAGCATTGTTATATAGCTAGTGTGAACACCAAACGTGATTGGTTGATTTGTAGTCACGTGGCTTTAGATAAATGCAATGTATCCCGCCCGGGCAATAAGTGAAAAATTGTTGCCCGCCCCGACCGGCTACGTACATAAAGAAACAAAATGGCGGCACAAAT